GCAGCTTGCTTGAGGCCATAAAGTTCTTTTTCCAGTTTTACCACTTTTCCTTTTTTTTCAAATCCCTGAGGCATCTATACATAAAGAACGACGTCAAGTGTGGGATTGAGAAAGGCAGTTGGAACATCACCTTGTAGTCTGTGCCATCCGAGACGGTGTCCAAGCAATAGAAGAAGCCTTATAGTGTCTGCTCGAGGTGTAGGAGCAAAAGTGTCAAAGTAATCACGTCCTTTTTGTTGAGTAAAGCCCCTTGCAGTCCATCGTGTCTTGTACTTATCCAATGAGCCATCAGCATGAGTCTTGTGTTTAAAACCCCATTTTCCGGTTAGAATAGTCCGGTTCTTCGGGACGAGTTTGCGATCAGCTATGACTGCAGTACCGGTTGATATAAGAGACTGGAACTCAGCTTCAGCAGCTTTTTTCCAATTTCTAGCTTCGGATCCTGTCATTGCTTCTATCCAGGATTTTGGATTTGTTTTAGTAGATATAGGAGCTAGTGCCTTGCCAGTGTTGAGTCATTTTTAGTCATTCCGCTGTGTAGTACGTCCTCGACGAGTGATGAAAGTTGGAGGCAAGGGTGGCGAAGGAGGAGTAGGCGAGTAATCCCTTTTCTGACCCGCGAGAGGTGGTGGATTAAATGGCGTGATCAGAGTGTTACACTCGATCTGAGTTTCGCCCGCATCTTGCTCAACCAGATTTTCACCTCGAGGTGATGTTGAAGGGTCAACTAGAGAGCTATAGCCGGGATGTATAACTTCCTTCGGGGTAGAAGATGACCGTGGAGCGGGCGATTGAGCCCTCTTTTGACCTGCAAGGATCGGGGGCTGAAATGGCTGCACAGGAGTTTCATATTGAATAATTTCTTCCTCGCTTTGTATGACCTGATCTTCAGACTCACTACAGTTTGATCCCTTATTTTCATCGTCATCATCTTTAGTATGTGATACAGACTGCGATAATTTCTCTTGATTTCTCAAATTATTCTCGCATTGAGGTTGAAATGGTTGGGAATCCTCAAGGTTGTCAAAAATTTCTCCATTAACTGATTGGTCTTGTAATGTACTTCTTTCGAAACTACTGACGCTTGAAGATTTTCGGTTTACAGAGGTTGAATCATCTGGCATAATTTGAGGGTGTAAACTCTGAGAGCTTACTGGGGGCAGGAAGTCTACACTTGTTGTAGGAGGAAAGTTGAGGCCTGGACCACCACCACTGCGGTATTGTTGAGGCGTTAGAAATTAAAGTTTCGCCATAGTCGGCTCATACATAGAGTCTTCATAGAAAGAGGCATGAAGGGTGGTGAAGACTTTGTAACTCCTTTTTTTCTGGGGAGTTTTATGAGGGGCGACTATAAGAAAATTTTTGGTAGTATTTGCCTGGAAACCAACAAACCATCCTACTTCCGCGCGTGGATCAAGTTTGTGTAACGGCTGTTAAGCCTAGGGATTCCTGTAGCCTACGCTGGCTAGCGCAGGCAATGAATGCAAGGGAATCTTCGGGAAGGATCTCGGAATACAAGGAGCTTAGAAGATTCTCAATGAACTTTCTGGAAGCATACTGAAGGTTCATGAGGACCACAGGTGTATCAAGAATCTTCTAGGGTATCGTCGAGGATTCCATGTTATTCCAGATATAGGGAGAACCTTACAGAAGAGGAGTATCTCAGAGTGTATATATATTTGTATTCTAGCTATAGGAATTCTCTCTCTAGAGAATTATAATTAATATACTGTACCTACAAGATCGCCCAAGCATGTTGTACTGAAACCGTGACAGTTTGCCACCTTTTTCTTGCTTATTGAGCGTTCGATTAGCTTTACAGCCAAAGCAAGGGAGACAAGTGAAGTGCAAGTATTCGCGATGGGCAACTCAGAGCTCTTGATGAAATTGTAGTAGGAACTTTTCTAGTGGTCAGATTGTAAAAGTGATTAGTGAGGAAAACTGCATGACTTATAGCCCAGTACCAAAAAATTACTGGCATTCCAGCATCAATTAATAGACATCGTGCCCGTGTAATGATGACCTTATTTGCTGCCTCAGCTGGGCCATTTTGTTCTGGAGTATATGGAGCTGAGATATCTTGTCGAATACTCTTAAGGCGAGCCATCTCTTGCCATTATGAATTTCGCTGAATTTCAGTGCCTCCGTCAGAGAAGCAGACTCAAAGTGCTTTACCGAACTGATCGCTCATGGTGTTAAACCAATCAATTAGTTTAGTAGGAATTTCATCTTCCTTCACGGCACCAAACCGTCATCTCATGCGAGTTGTTGCATCTGTAATAATGACTAGGAATCGCTGTCCAAAGATTTCGGGCTCCACGGGACCAACCATGTCAACAAAAACTTCGTCAAGAGGCGCAAATGGAATAGGCCTTGGCGTCCGCGTGATAGTGCGCTGAGCTTTACTGAGATGACACGCTTCGCAATGAGATAGCTCACTGGTTTCAAGTCCTCCTAAACCTTGGGCAAAAGTCCTTGTTTTGGATAAAATTAATGGTCCAACATGACCAAGCCGCTGATGGCATCTATCGGCAGTGGTGCATTTCTGAAGTTTGGCCACAGCGGATTTTATTAGACCTGACGCTGATAAATGAAGAGGTTTCTCTGAATGTTTTGTCTTATCAAGTGCTACGATGATTGAAACATCGTTGATGGAGACAAGCTGAGCTACTGGAACTCGATGGCCGTTTACCAATTGGACAAGCAGACTGGCTTGGCGATCTTCTAAGATATTGGCAAGACGGTAGGCTCGACCGGCTGAGATTAGATTTATTGAAGACTGCGGAGAGTATAGAGCGTCTGCAAGTTTGAGATTGAGACTGCCGACTTTTACCTGTGCTATACCTCCATGACTGAGAGCTGACTTGCTGACAGTTTGATCGAATCGGAAGGGCTTGCTAAGCAAAGCTAAACTGATAAACGCCGAACAATCGTTTATGAAGTAGTTGGAGGCGCCAGAATCCCAGATCAACATATCTTTTGTAATGGTGTGGCCAGAACTGCTAGCTATCAAGGCCAAACTTTCAGAGATAGCTGTCATAGCTATTGATGGCTTGTCACTGTCAGAATTTCCATCTAAAGTTGCAGTATTGGCACGACCATTGCGATCTATATCCTTGGTGCTTCTAGCTCTGCTATCACGTAGTTCAGGGTGCTGGACTCGACAATTCCTGTTGGTGTGTTTTGATTTGGGATGGATTTAACGAAATTCATTTAGACCTTTGTTGTGTGCTGCTGCTACTACGATAGAGTTATCGTATTCAATAGTCCGATCGCCTGCAGTAGATCTGAGTGTAGCCATCATCTGTTCTAGAGAAGCGAAAGCATGTTGGTCTCGATCAATTGCCCCTGTTGCTCTCCAAGTTTCAAGCCACTGAATGTGAGATGTTTCTTCGAAGAATATTACTGCGACAAATCCATCAGAGATACCGTATTCTATAGATCTATCAACTGTTGACTCCAAGCTTACTGCAGCATTGCCAAAATTTGTAAGATTCTTCTGGAATTCATTACAATAATTGGTAGCATTTGTAGTGATCATGGTATCAATTAGTTTCTTATAACATGTCTTGAAGATAGAATGGCTCTGAAGTTGTATTATATTAGATTATTACATTATATTCTGTCTAGACACATTCCAACAATGTTCAGTACACCCAGATTACTAAGCAATCCACTTTCACGCTAAGATTGAAGAATGGCTCTTCAATAACAAGTTCCATAAGGAATTGCTGCTGAAGGCTTGTGTGCGTCGGCAACCATTGTGTGGAGTTGGAGTGCTGTGAGTTTATTCACTGAATTTAGTCTAAGACTGTGGTCAAGCCTTCGTAAGACTATTTCATAAGCATGCAAGTCCTTCATTTTACACACTTCGACTTCATCCAGATACTTGTCATATTTTTCAGTATTCTTTTCATCTCCCAGTGTGATCGGTGCGACTGGAGCAGTCTTTGGTCGGATTTCAGGGACGTTGTGAAAGATGTAACCAGCTAATCCATCCTGCGCAAGAGCACTCCAGAGATCGGAAGACCATGTTGTGAATGAAACACCAGAATTGAGTATGATAGCTCTCTTATCTTCGTTGGTGCTTGACATTGTTGTTAATTTAGTTCCTGTTTAGAAGTTATCTGTTTATTTTCCTATGGATCCGATGTTCGATAATGAACTGATGATAAGCGCTGCGCTAAATCCGGGCTATAACCCGTTATAAAGAGATGGATCTTGAGGAAGAGGAACGTATCTAATTTCGTGAATTACAAGGAGTTATAATTGACTATATTACAATGAGACTGGATGCAGTAATGAAAGAACGCCTGCACGCTAAGACACTTGCATGTGATGCACAATTACAACAATCAGTGTCTTAGGGCGTTTTCGATGCTTCGTTTCCGGCTTTCGGGGTTGTATGGGATTTTCTACCATGAGAATCCTTCTCAGGATTACTCTCCATTACTGATAGAACTAGGCTGCAACTTCACGGGATTAAAATTGATTGGGGTAGATTTCTCAAAATGATTAGTAAAGGGTTGTTATTGATTAAGATTTAATCCACAAAATTCTAGAATCCTAATAAATAATCCTTATCATCTTTGCAAGTAATCTATCGGCATCTAAGAAAAGTCTCTAGCATGAAAACCCAGTATAGCCCAATATGAAGGATTAATTCACAGATGTCTTGAATTTATCTTTTGAAAATGGAGGTTTTGAGTATAGTCGACCTTGACGTAGGTTTTGTGCTAAGGCACGCGCCTTGAAACCACATCTCCGTGGCTTTGGTGTTGTTTGATAGGTGAGCTATAATCTGATTCCATTCCAAAATTCTGTTATAATACTCGGGAGGGGACCAAATGTAAATAGTGTTGGGCTTGGTGGCTAGATACGATAAATTCTTCTTAGACTAGGGCGTGAATCAAAAATGTCCCTCATTTTCTTTGATCTTCTTTTATATCTTTTATTTCTAGCAACGAGTTCTGGCCGCAGACTGCAAAGGCGGTGACCTTTTAGGATGTCTTTTTTCCTTCAACCACAAGTTGATCGAGCTGGTAAAATTGACTGATGACAGTTTGCCTCTAAAAATGTGAGTGAGCAAAGTAAATCTTTATTTGAATTCACTTGAATCTGCATCGAAATATGTGTGGGAAGAATTCTAAAGGAAGTGACTGGTGACATACTTTCAAAGACTGCAGTTCTTTTTGTCCTTTTTGAATCAGTTTTTGGATACTTAAATTGTCTTGAACATCTCTGTTTTCCCTAAATGAATCATGAGTCTTCCTCTTCGCGTACTCTCTAAAGTTATATGATGCAAATTGTTGACTCTGCTTTAGCAATTGACGATACTGGTAATTCTAATTTTAGTCATTTGTTTTGCAGATTCTAGATGATAATAATTTATAAATGCCTAGTTTTGCTCTCACTTTCAAGACTCATATTGACACTTACTATAGATCTTGCCTGCCGCGCAGAATCTGTTCGCATTAAATTAACCATGGTACTCATTTTGAGCTTCCTGGGAGAAATTGATATTTAGATTTTGTTGGAAATATTCTGGTGTACTTGTTGAGACTCTCACTGTAAATGAAGGAAGTTGATGTTGTGTTCACCAATATTTCAAATCACAATATGTCACGGCTGTTAAAACGGGAGCTAATACTAGTATGTCCCTTATCAACTTGAACGGAACTATACGCCATAGCGTGCCATATCACATTTGTGCAGGGATTCTCATTTGTTGGGGGTGCATTAAGGAATATATATTTTCCGAAAGTTTCGCACAACTGAATAATTTTGAACTCCAAAAATTTGCTCAAAATAACCACATCCAGTCTCCTATATAATCCGAAACGTCAGGGAATAACACGATGCCAAAGGCAATTACTCCGTCTTCTACGTCTGCTAAACATGGTCGGCGGCACAATCCTCTTGAGGCGGACCTCACAGCTAGTGTCTCTCAAAAGATTCGCTTATCCAAAAGAGTTTCACAATACCAAGATGAGGGCGATAGCTTCATCGATTCCAAAGCTTCAAGACGAATACTGCAAATGGGACAACAGTTAGTCGACGAAGATATCGATGAAACCCCCGAAATTCTTAAATCAACATTCAATTTTGAAGAGAGGTCAACGGATGATGATGAAGAATCGGAAGAACCACTAGACCAATTTGAAGAATGGGGTGTCGATGAAGAAGAAGAAGAATTAGAAGTTGCAGACATTGATACTTTCAATAAGTTCTTTCCAGAAGATGAAGATGTATTGCTGAAGCAGGGATGGGGAGCCGAGTCCATTGACAACAACAAAGACACGGGAACAAATCTTGCCGACATAATACTGCAAAAAATAGCAGCGCATGAAGCAGCTCAAGCCAATACAGGGAGGAGTCACAACATAACAATGAAGTCTTGTAATAATGCGGATGAAATACCTGAGAAGGTTATAGAGGTATATACAAAGTTCGTCAGTCTATAATCTACAAGGCCAGAACTAAAATTCAGCCAGAGTCGGACTCATACTTTCGAGATACAAATCTGGAAAACTTCCAAAGCCCTTCAAAATTCTTCCAACTATTCCCCGCTGGGAAGAAATACTTGAAATCACTAGGCCGGATAAATGGACAGCAAATGCCTGCTATGAGGCCACAAAAATATTTATTTCCAGTAAACCAGCAACGGCCCAACAATTCATGGAAACAGTCATCCTTGAGCGTGTGCGAGAAGAGATTCATGAAACAAAGAAGTTAAATGTTCACCTATTCAATGCACTAAAAAAAGGCCTCTATAAGCCCGCCGCGTGGTTCAAAGGCTTTCTTTTCCCGTTGATTGGATCTGGGACCTGTACTCTACGAGAAGCACACATCGTATCCGCTGTGCTAGTACGCGTGTCTGTCCCCGTGCTTCATTCAGCAGCTGCACTCAAAGGCTTGTGTGATATAGCTGCGCAAGAAACTTCAACCGGAACAGAAGGAGGGGGTGCGACGAATGTTTTCATCAAGGCTCTTCTCGAAAAGAAGTATGCTCTTCCATATCAGGTAATAGATGCTCTAGTTTTCCACTTTCTCCGATTTAAGGTTCCAACTCTCAATAATGCTGCCGAGACGGAAGGAGGGAAAGGCGAATATGGAGCGGTAGGGGCAAAAGACTCCCGCCTACCTATTATTTGGCATCAATGTCTTCTCGCCTTTGCTCAAAGATATAGAAATGATATTACAGAAGATCAGAGGGAAGCATTACTAGACCTTCTCTTGACTAAGGGGCATTATAAAATTGGGCCTGAAATCAGGAGAGAGCTACTTGACGGAAGAGGCAGAGGCGTCGCACTTGAGGTTGACGTTAATGCCATAGATGGTGATGATACTATGATGTTGGAATAAGGTTACAGGGTGGGGATTTTGGTTTTATTGCTTTGACGGGCATGTTAGTCAGCAAGGATGCCTACGGCAATATTATCGTGAGAAGATGTTTATGCTGTTAGTGTAGTGCTTGTATTGTTATGTATGAGTAAAGGTGCTCATGTACACAGGCGAACTACAGGCCGCACACTAGTTTGAGGAGCGAGTGTTCGGCTGACGTATATCGGGTCTTGTTGAAATTTAGGGGCTCCATATCGGCCAGATAGTTGAGGTTGTCCAGTCAGACCAACGCGCACTGACTCGGTCACCAAAGAACAATCGGAGGCAGTACGTTGGACCGGTGGACGCGAATACGTAACCCTAGCGCGAGTTAGGGTTGTCACCACAAAAGTTGTCACGATCGCAATCGTCTCAGAGCTCAATTTGATTGGAGAAGCCGTGAGTATCGGATGACTAAACTCTGAATAAGATGTTTAAGAGGAGGCATATATCTCCAAGAAGCCGTCCCCTATCTCGAAATGTAACCTACGGATGGATAATTAGGTATGGAATTAAGGCGCTCATCACTAGATCCCTTCGGCAGTTGAGAGGTCAGGTCAAGCGAGAGACATGAAGAAGACGAGGAAGCTTGAGCTATGCATGGGTTAGAGCCCTTAAGGTAAAAGAATCTATTTTCTCTCGTAGTATTTTAAAATATTTGGATTCCTTACAATTCTGTTTATGTCACTAAGCCTTAAGTGATGATTTCTGCGCTTTGAATAAGTTGGTCTTGTGAGTTGTGATGTTCACTGGCTCCAACGGTCCTGTGCCTATTGTGGAATTATCCTTAGAACAGGACCTTAACAATGAGAAACAAAACATAAATATTACCAAGGAAATAATGACCCCTCAGTCATTGAGGTTGTAGAGTGAATTGATTCAAGTAACAATTCATCCTCTATTCTCAACCCCGATTTTTTCACTTTATCATTGCATTAAAATCACCCACTAAAAGACCCATCATCCGATGAGCCGGCAAAGTCGAATGCTTCACCTTCCAGTGGTGCCGGTGTAATCGCTCAGTATGCTCTGCATATCTGGGATAGCCAAGAAGAATCGCATCCTTCGCAACGGCAGCTTGCTGAGCGTGGCCCAGTCGATTTCGATTGACACCTGGGCTAGGTTCCGTTCCCGGCACGATAGATTGAAAGTTTAAGTTTGGGTCTCTTCTATTCAGTCTTCTAACAACTTCCCGATGGAGTTTGACTGGGAGGACTTTACGACTCATTAACAACCCTCCAAAATCAAAGGTAAAATTCCTTTCGCTTTCAACCTTATTAACATAGTGTGTAGGACTGGGCAATTGCTCGGCCTCATTTTAGACAAGCACCTCGACCGCGACATCAACATTCTCAACTCTTCGACACATTCCAAAGACGGCGCGAACGAAGAAGCCTCACTCAGAAAACGAACAATGTACGACAAAAGCTGGGGCACCGATACCTCGGTTTTGAGCTCTCGATTTCGGAATTTCAGCCCTCTCAAATGGGGGTTGAGCGCAAAGCAGGGGAGAATTTGGGAAGAATGATATGTGATTTTCAACAGGCTGTTGGCATAGTTGGTCGGGTGCTGGATGTGCTTTCTAGAAGTGGTGGGTTGGATTCCTACACGGCCTGTTTAAGGGGGGACTACGGCTGCTCGTTGTGAGAGAGTACAAGAGGAATTAATGAGGTTTTCCCACGAAGGTTGCCCCTCAATACATGGTCTTAGGATCATGGTGAATGCGTTCCTACCTATTCGACCCGATGTTACTAGCGTGAGGCACGTATTTGGAAAAGTCAGGCACCAGATGAGCTTTGCTGGAGAATGGAGGAACTTGTATTCTAGATGTCCTTTATGCGTGTCATGTCCATTGGATGGAGGGTGTAAGCCTGGCACGATAAATAAAATCATCATCATCATCACCATCAACCGATGCAATGGCACCCGCTGTTGCATCGTCATCATCAACGCCTTCCAATGCCGGAGGGCAACTCCATCCAAGCCTGCTAGGCATTGCGAATGCAATGCAGAAGGCAGAACACGAAAGAAAGACGTGACTTGGGCTTGCCCAAATCGCTCTTAGAACTTATCGACACCTGGGCTAAAACCAAGGCGGACACAAACGCGTCAACAATTTTGGCATCTTTAATTGCAAATATAGCGCCCATCGTGACCCATTTTGCAACTGGCTCAATGGAAAACTATGAGACCACTAGTGTGTGTGTGTGTTTTATTGTACTACTTGAGTCTATGACTATCTAGCACATTGGGCTCCTCTCTGACCCAGGCCACACCTTGTACAGTGCTCCTACCCTCTTTTGTTACTTGAAAGATCATTGATATATTCCCCTTGATGAATAGCCATTCAGCTCAGTATTTACCCGTGGAATTCAGCCACCTTTTCCACGGAACCTTCTACCCAAAAAAATAAAAAAGGTAGCAATGGAAACTGCGTGCGCGGGAAAAAGTCTCAAAAAACCTGCAGCCCCAGCCAGGCGAGGCCTAGACACCGGGACCACATGAGGTGCGCATATTCATCTATATCTCCCTTCTTTGTAACATTAGAGGCCATCTTGATCCAATCCACCATCGCCGCGTCGGTTGCTGGGTACGCTCCGGAAACTCATCGGATGGCTTTTCCTCCATGATCAAGGGTGGGTGATGAGTAGGGCTCCGACCCTACCATCTGATCTGATCGTGGTTAGCTTCATGATAGTGGTGATAGGGGAATGTGTTGAGAGATGAAGACGATACAGACCGCGAAAGCGATTGGGAATCCTCTTCGAAGTGAGGAGTTTGTTACTCAATCTCGGCTCTGCAGACTCTACAGTGAGAGCTGGAGGTTCGTAGGGGACACCACTGACAGGTGTTGAGAATAGTCCCCCTGAGACCACTAGTAAGGTCCCGAACCCCCCATTAATTTCTTCAAAACCAGTGACACACAAGGGAAAAAGCGCTCTTGTCGAACACTGTAGTGCTCTACCTGTTAGACCTTCAGAGAACACCTCGCCTTGGATTACAATGGCCCGAAAAGCAGCCAGGCTCCCTGACCCACCTGCTATCCAATTACCAAGAAGACCTGTCTCACAGACAAAAAAAAAATCAACGAAATCGAATCCCAAGGTCGACAAACGCCTTTTCGTACGGTTAGATAGAAACCATGCATGGCGTCAGCTCTCACCGATCACCAATAAGAAGATGATCACTGAGCGTGCAGGAGTTGCACCATCAGCTATCAAAACAATGCACCTGGCTCGTTCGGGTATCTCATTTGAGTGCGCATCTGATGCACTTAGGGAAACTATCTTCGGTACAGGATCATCTTTCCGACAGGATAACGTTGTCATTGAGGCAGCATCAGAATGGATATCAGTGTTGGTAACACACGTGCCTCTTTTCATTCGGACACTGGAAGGGAGCATAACAGTCACCAATGAAATGGTGATAAGTGAGTGCCAATCAGTCTATGGCACGGTTCCAATTCTAGTACGCCAATCACCGACAAGGCTGGGACAATATTCTACCAGTTGGCTTGTACATTTCCGCCAAAAACCATCGAACCTCAAGTTTAGACAGTTCGAGGAAAGTGGGCCGGCAATGCCTTACACGCGACAGCGCTCCATTGAGCAATGCCAGCGCTGCTGGGGATTCCACCCCATGCGAATTAGCACTAAAAGTCAATGCTGTGGACGCTGTTCGGGTGTACACGAGACTTCAGAGTGTCAGGTCAAAATTCCTAAATACTCTAACTGCGTGGGTCCTCATGACTCCTATGAGCCTAAACGCATGGCTAGGCCCAGGCGCCAACAAGGAACTATTGTACCTCGCACACCATCAGAGTTGCGCATCATCCGCGAACGTGGAAATCGTGACTTTAATGCCGCTCGAGCATATTCTGAGAGGAAGGGAAAGGCTGTAGAAGTCATCTCTGCCCCAGAAGCATCTATGCAAGATTAATGTTAGAGAACCGAATCTCGAACACACTCACAGAAATCAAAAGCACTCTTCTATTTCACCAAGTGAACGTGTGAAAGGGTGGAGAAAATATGGACATAACCTTGCAACAAGCATGGGAAGCAGGAGCGCACGTTGTAATGGTACAAGAGCCATGGACGATGCGAAAAGACGGAAGCTTTATCAGTAAAAGTCACACTGTCTTCGATAGCCACAGTCCAATCGACGAGAGAGGAGCTCGGCCTCTGGCAATAACTTTCACCCGCAAAGGCCTGCAAAACCTACAGATAACCCCATCCTCAGATCAAACAGCTGACTACTGTTTTGTACAGGTTTGCGGGGTTACATTCGTAAATGTTTACCGCGCGCCTGGCTCGAGTGGCACTCTAGATCCACTACTACTCTGGAAACCTTCAGGACCTACAGTGGTTGGAGGAGATTTCAACTCAGTATTAATGCACTGGCAACCGCAAACCTTACGTCAGTACGGCAATGGTGACCAGACAATGGAATGGGCAAATTCTCACGACATGTATCTAGCAACCAGAGCCGGGGTTCCAATACATCGGAGCGGAAACGAACTAGATCTAGTGTGGAGCAATATCTCAGCAATAGCGTCTGTGTCAACGGAGATAAACTGTACTTCAGATCAAGTGACCATTGTAGGATCCACTCAGACAACCAAAATGTCGAATCCTTCAAGTATTTCGCAGGGACTGTACGTGAGCGACCAGGGCCTTGGAAAATTCTCCCAGTACGCCAAAGCCTGGATGAAGCTAAGGCCGTTGGAAAATGTTTGAGATATAGAGCTCCAAATTTCTACGCTCCTAGAGACACTTGATAATGCTCGCAACGCAGTAGGACGTACAGCACCAAAAGTCACCGGAACAGCGGCACCTTGGTGGAACGAGGAATGCAAGACTACGCAGCGCGAGTACAAACACTGTAGAGCATATCCGGCTCTGGCAGTCCACGCCCGAAAAAGGTTCAGAGCTACTGTCAAAGCAGCCAAGAGAGAACACTGGAGGAGAAAATTTGAAAATACGACTACAGACGCCCAAGTATTTAAGCTGATGCAATGGGCTAAGCCTAAGTCATGTCAAGAGCCACCCCTACTAAAGGTTGCAGAGGACAAGTGGCTTTCAGACCCACTCGAGAGAGCAGAGAGCTTGAGGGTCACTTTGATGGCTCGTTTTGATGCAGACGAAGACCTATCCATATGGGAGCTGGGCCAACCGGAGCGAATCCCTTGGGACAACAAAATTTCATTATCAGACGTTACAGAAGGCACCATTAGCGGCAACAACACGGCCCCCGGAAACGACAAATTAACCGTGCGGTTGCTTAAGTCGTGCTGGATAGTAATTGGGACGCATATAAGAAACATTTTCCAAACCTGTCTGGAGCATGAACACTTCCCAACAGCGTTTCTATTCGCAGAAGTAGTCTTGCTTCCAAAGCCTGGACGAGATCTATCCACCCCTAATGGATGGCGGCCTATCTCTCTGCTCTTTTGCCTAGGTAAAGGATTGGAACGTATTATAGCCAAAAGAATGGCTTGCTCAGCCATCGAGTACGAAGTAGTCCCTCGACAACTCTTTGGGGCCCTGCCAGGACGTTCAGCGGTTGATCTTGTTTCCTTTGTTATTCTTGACGCTGAGGCGACAATGAGGAGTAACAAAGTTACAGCTATGATAACTGTAAGGATTCTTGAGAAATGCCTCAGGCAGGATTTATGGGTTCCTTATTTAATCCCACTAGTCTTTATTGCTTAGCGAGGGCACCTATGTAGTTTCCATTTCCGAGACTGATATCTTCACGCTTTGTTTTCTGTCTTTAGGAATAGTTACATTATTCTAATCACATCTCACTCTCGTCCTCTGCCAAACATAGTGACCTACTGTCACCTCCAGCCCCTCTATCTAGAACGACTCCCCGCTTTCCCTTTTACCACTTCTCTAGAAAGCCCTCTGCGTTACCACGAGGCGTCCTTCCTCAGTACATCCTACGCTACGCCCTCTCCTACGCCTCGAGTCCTGTGCCTAGTGAACCTGCGCCTGACAATAACGATGGATGTGCAAGGAGCTTTTGATGCGGTACTTCACAAACGCTTACTGTGTAGAATGCGTGACCAGGGGTGGTTGAGGAGACTGTGCCAATTCGTTGAGTCATTTTTGACCCGGCGGATTATTTGCGTTCGTCACCGGGAGGGAATAACATGCGAAAAAGTAGTGGAGTGCGGAGTACCTCAGGGCTCACCTCTATCGCCACTTCTTATCCTCCTATACATTGCCATTTTAGTTCAAGATGGGAAAGGAAAAAGATTCGGATATGCCGACGATATTGCATCCCACGGAATAGGACGCACTGCCGCTGAAGCTGTCTCATCGGCTCAGATAGAAGTAGATAAACTCGTTCAGCTGGCAGATGAGCACAAGATCAATTTTGATTTGGTCAAGTCTGAGCTTTTAATAATAGGTGGCGGACCAAGAAAAAAGTTGGACACGTCAGGTCTTGCAATCCAGGTGAAAGGTCTCAATATCTCCCCATCCTCACACGTGAGATTGTTGAGATAGTACCGACAAATAACGGTCACGGTACCGAAGGTGCAAACCCACGCCTAGCATTGCAACATGCACATCTACACACAGGCACGACGTTAAATTTAATCAAATCAAATCAAATGCACATCTACTGCTCGCCACCAAGCTTCGGGCGCGGGAGCGCCCAGGTAAAAACTATACATGGAAGCAACTGGGGTGGTGACACCATAAGCCCCTGGAATATAAGTGCTAGCCGCAAGGGGTCGGGTACCACTCAGCGTATATGCAACAGCATCGAGTGTCCCTAAAGGAAACCAGTACGGTCGCCCCTGGATCAGCTATTCAGGGGAGCTCAACTAAGGTACTGAGCTGCGATTATAGGAGCAGTGATGCGACTGTTCATGAGCGTTGGATTTGTAATGTGATTACTATAGATAGTCAATCACGAGATGGAACTAAGACTATGACATGGGTCATACAGATATATATAAGATAGCATATATTCATACTTGAGACAGGATCGAAATCTGTCGAACACATCCTCTACATACTCCAATTAGATTTAACAAGTGACAAGTAACTATGTTCCCATATGACTCATAACCTTAACAGAGATGGCTTGGAGTATGGCTTGACTCCCAGCTTAAATTTAAGCAGCACGTGCAAGAATGGTGCGGGAAAGCACAGCGTGCAACACAGCTCATACGGCGTATTAATATGGTTCAGCGGGTCATAGCACCAGGACCAATGGTTAAAGCTGTTCACGCCTGTGTCCTAAGTACGGCACTGTATGGAACGGAGGCATGGTGGCCTGGCCTAGCCCGAATTACCACGCGGTGAGACAAGAAAATTGGCACCGGAGTTGGCTGGCATACAGATCTGTTGGACAGAAAAATTTTAAAGGCAGTCAGAGCGGCACTACCTGCTTGGCGCACTACCCCAAACTCGACTCTCCGAAGAGAATCAGGTATTCCACTGGCAGCAATCATTTTGGATCAGAGGTAACTTCGGTCAACAGCGCGTATCCAACGACTGGACGTATGGCACCCTCTATCACTGAGGGCTAGGGAGCTACCAATCGATGTTATAAAGCGTCTCGAGCTCCGAACGGGCCAGAAAGCCCGACCTATCACTGTTCCAGAGCGCTATATGACACGGCTCTAGAACAGTGCGCTAAATGTATCAATCACCGAAGGTCCTGGAAAATTTCCGTACCTGTCAACCTACCTTGCCAAGTTCTCATCGGGTCTCGGTAGAGAGAATGAGTCGGAGTACGCGAAGATATGGATAGAAAATCTCCCGACAGAGACTGTATGTGCCTATTCAGATGGCTCTTCAATCAACCCAGCGATATCTGCACGGGGATACGCCCTATATAAAGGAAGCAGACTGGTTGGTAGCGGTGTTGGAATAGTTCTAGGAGCAGAAGTGTACGACGCAGAACTCGTGGGCGCTCAAAAAGCCCTTGAATCAGCTGTGGCTCTAGCAGGAGGTTGCCCTATTAAGATGCTCCTCGATAACTCTGAAGCTGTCCGCTCCCTCAAAACAGGACTAAGTAAGTCGTCCCAAGCTACAGTCGACAAAGTTACAACTCTCCTACAATCAAACGAGTTAGTAGAGATCCGATGGATCCCAAGCCAACCTAGCATTATCGGGAACATCCATGCGGATAAAATGGCTAAATCAGCTTTGAAAGATTTTCCAATGGTCTCAAATGCAACTTCACTTCAAGAACAAATTAAGGACAAGTATACACTTTCGCAGCTCTAAATCGATATCTTAGAGACCGTGCTGAGGAGACTGTCGATTCTTGGTGGAGAGAGAACAGACCCAGTCAATACAAAGACCTGGATTTGTTGATGAAGAGAAAACGACCACCAGAGCTCGCTCTTCCAAGATGAGCGTATCATCGTCTGATAGCGGCTAGGACTGGTCATGGCAATTTTGCCAAGTATCACAAGAGGTTTCATCACGAAGGAATAGACCTTATGTGCAAGTGTGGCCGAGAAAGACGCCCGTGGCATTTCTCTCAATGCCGGACAGCGCTAAATGAATGGCGGGAAACAACAAAGGAAACAGCACCAAGTATATGGACAATGTTGGGAGAAAAGGGATGGATAGCTTTTTATTGATTCCTTACCGTAACAGGATGCTACGGGGTGCAAAGTAGGACTTGGATGACAGAGGTTTTCTGGGATACATATAGTACAGGAAACTGCTATGAGATAGCTGTTTTTTTTTTTTTTTTTAAATCATTTAAGTGTATTCAGCTATGGAGCTATGATACATGATCGGTGCTATGTATACATGTAGGATGACTCTTTTGATGTTAGAGACACTCACACTCTGGATTTCATTCGCAAATACCACTATGAGGTATGCTTGCTTACACAAACAGTCGACCCTCCTCCGTTAGTACCCACCAAAGGGAATTTCAAAACCTTTGGTTATCCAAGCATGCCTTCGTCATCCATGCATACCAGCGCCGCGAGAAAAGTGGTTGTGTTTTGCTGGATTTGAACCAGCGATCTACTGTCTCAAGTGGGATATGTGTCCAAGCTATCCAGACTCTACTTGGCAGACCAACCAAGACGATGTACCACCGCACCATCCAACTATAGCGATGTTTGTAGTGTCGCCTGAACTCTCGCAAGCGAAGTCTTGGCGCGCACAAAGCTCAATTCGTAAAACTCTTGCCAAACTTCGAAATTTCACGCCCGTCGAGACTGTATCCCTCTTCTGCATCATCTTGTAAACTTGTCCTGATCTCTCTCACGTCCATCCCAAAGAGCTGTCTCCCAGATTTGTGCGCCACGCTTTGCTTCCTCCGTCAGGTGTAAATATCGGCGTGGGCGTGTATCTGGCGACCAGCTGAGGCCAGAGAAAGTCGACGAGAGGTGTGATCATTGAAACGAGGATGTACTAGGTCGTACTTGTAGACTTGATGAGGCTTGGATAGGATTCGGACTCGTTGGGATTGAAAATTTGACGTGGTGGAGTAGTTTGAATTATTGCCTCGTGGGCCAACTTGTTCGGTATTGCGAAATTCGACTGAACTTGGCTCTGGGAGAATATTTCACTCCCAGGTTCGTAGAGGACACCGCGTACAGGTGTTCAGTCTTGCCCTCCTATGAGATAGCTGGCTAGGCGCAGGGCGTTAAGTCAGGGCAGCAAAAGTTTTTGGTGAAATTTTTGTCTTTATTAGATCATGTAAATTTCTGGCCACATAAAGCCAGCATCAGTGGTGTTTGTGGGTCACCCCGAGAACACGCACCCGTGTCAAGCCTCCTGGGTGTAGGGCTTTAGCCTGATACGTTAAATTATTCAATTCAATTCGATTCAAGTAACTATCGAAGTGAAACTAAGTACAGAATTTGTAGTCAGGCGTGTACGAACAACGTGGCTTACTTGATAGCCCCAATTATTCTAAATCCTAACAGATATGAATATTACTCAATCTAAACCTATTGCAGCTCATCCCACAGCTTCACTTAGTAGATCTATCGACTCAAAAAAAAAGTCAGTATTCCTTGCAATACTAAGCTATTCTCATAACTAAAGTGTATTCACCAACACATTGCCACTGACACCTCAAATGCCTCCAGAAGCTACTTAATACCTCTGTATTCGCAAAAAGAGGTGTAACCTAGTGATGGCGTTTGCTCAGTTTTATGTCATGCAATTACAGCTACTTTGTACCAATGAAAACGACCCAGTTCCTTCTTTAGCTGGTTTGTTTAACGAAACTTTGATTGTTGTGAATATAGTGCGCATGACTTGGAGATGTCTATTTACGATAGATGAAAGTTCTATAACAGATATATTTACAAGGGCGACAAATCATCACGCATGAATAGTTTGATCTAGCGTAATCTATGCTTGGGTGAATCAGCCAGATCAGGAAGTTGCTGCCAAGAAGCATCATATATACTTACTGGTTTGTCACAGTTGTAAACCTAGGCTCTAGTGATAGAGAGGAAATGGGAGGGGTAACTGAGAGAAAGATTTGTTCTTGTACTGCTTGAGTCTGTGACTATCTAGCACATTGGGCTCCTCTCTGACCCAGGCCACACCATGTGCAGTGCTTCTATTCTCTTTTGTTACTTGAAAACCGTTGATAGATTGCCCGTGATGATTACCATTCAGCTCAGTATTTACCCAGGAGATTCGGCCGCGTTTCCACGGAACCTTCTACCCAAAAAAATAAAATGGTAGCAATGGAAGCTGCGTGCGCGGGGAAAAGTCTCAAAAAACCTGCAGGCCCAGCCAGGCGAGGCCTAGACGTGGGAACCACATGAGGCGCACATATTCATCTATATCTTCTATCTTGTAGCAGTCGAGGCCGACTTGATCCAATCCACCGTCTCCGTCTCCGTATCCGGTGCTAGTTACGTTCCGGAAACTCATTGGATGGCTTTTCCTCCATGATCAAGGGTTGATGATGAGTAGGGCTCCGAGCCTACCGTCTGATCTGATGGTGGTTAGCTTCATGAAAGTAATGATAGGGGGCAGTGTTGAGAGATAAGACGATACTGATCGCAGAAACGACTGGGGATCCTCATCGAAGTGAGGACGGTGTTACTCAATCTCGATTCTGCAGACTCTACGGTGAGAGCTGGAGGTTCGTAGGGGACACCGCTGACAGGGGTCGGATTTAGTCACACGCTGGACTTCTATTGTCGATCGGCCAACGGCATTTGCCAGCGCCCTGTACAGCAATCACGTTTTCGGTCGAGTCTTGTCTATTATTCCCGCACGACCTTCGATGAAGAGTGAGAAGGAGGCTGGAAGGTAAAAATCGAAATTCCTTAGAGACCCAAAAGGACTTTTTGTAAAAGAAAAAAATCATTAAATGTGTATTCAGATATCTAGCTATGACACATGACCGGTGCTATGTTTACATGACGAATGACTCTTTTGACGTTACAGACACCCATACTCTGGATTTCATCCGCAAATACCACTAGGAGGTATGCTTGTTTACACCAACAGTCGACCTCCCTCCGTAGGTACCCACCAAAGAGAATTTCGCGACCTTTGGTTATCCAAGCATGCCTTCGTCATCCATGTATACAGGCGCCGCGAGAAATATAGTTGTGTTTTGCCAGATTTGAACCAGCAATCTACTGTCTCGAGTGAGATATATGTCCAAGCTATCCTGACTATAATTAGCAGACCGGCAAAGACGATGTACCACTGCACCATCCAACCATGGCGCCGGCAAAGACTAATTCTTCACCTTCCAGTAGTGCCGGTGTCATCGCTCAGTATGCTTTGAATATCTGGGTTGCCCGGAAGAATCGCATCC